GAAGAGTGCTTGTGATGAAGCCTTGCAGAGACTGTGTTTGTGATGCTTCTCCCTCCTCCTTTGCCAGCTAAAGCCAAGCACAGTGACTTGTCCACGTGCTTTTTGATGTACTCATGACCCCTGCTAATGTTTACAAATCAAGGAAAAGCCTGATATCTAGCACAGGCATTACTGCTTCATGTCAGAAAGAGTGACAGGTAAAGAGTAAAATCTGGACGCAGCACAGAGATGGATCCAAAATACATAAATAACCAATTAAGAAAAAATATTAGTAAAAATATTGTAACAGATCCCAATCTGCTGCTGAGTACCAATTGCCAGTAATAATCTCTATGGTAACTGAACTCTCTTTGGCCTCTCTCTGTATGCAACTAGTGTTTTATGTTTTTTCTTCCCTTTCCCCTATTTTCATACAAAGTTTTCAAAACTGGTTTAAATATTATGATATTTTCTTCTTCAAGTGCTAACTGGGAAAAGTATTCACTTGGTCTGCGTCACTCTCTTAAGCAGATTTCTCCTTCCTTAAATGACTGCCTCAGAGGGGTGACTTTTGTGATGGCTGTTTCCAGAAGTCCTGTTCAAACATGAAATAGGTGAGGCAGGTTTTCAAAATCTAAGAGGCTAAAATATTGCCCAGCAAATAAAAATACCAATAAAGTAGATGCAAAAAATTACACTAAGATGTCACTTTCAGAAACCACTTATGTACCTTTATTGTAACCTTTATTTAATTAATTAATTAATTAATTTATTATTATTATCTGGCTGCACGTCTCTTCTTGCCAGCTGCTTTCTTGTAATCTCAGTGACTTGTTCTGTGCTATGCTTTTAGATATGGGTGTTCCCTTTTCTCAGCCTGCTCTCACACATGTTTTGGCTACTGGATATAAAATAAGCCACTACCTTTAGAAACAACATCACGCAGTAAATATTTTTTGTGTTTCTTTTGTCAATAGACAAAAGAAAAATTTTAAAGGAGAACATGTAGAATCATGTGAACAACAATATAAGCATCATACTTTTTTTTTTTTTTTTTTTTCTGACTATTTTTTCCCCAGAATTCTTTTGACAACAGATCCCAAAGAAGGAAGCTTGGCTTTGGATTCAGTCTAAGGGTGAAAATTCTCTTCTCCTCTAACAGCTCTGTGAGGTTACACAGGATGAGTTTGTCTCAGAAGGGAACCTATGATATTCAGCAAGCTCTGGGGGAATTTGCTTAGAGGCAGACCAGGAAAATAGAAAGATGTTGAGAGCAGGTTGGAGCCTCATCGTACGCTATTTCTCTCTGGGACTTTGAGGATCCATCAGTTACAGCTGAAATATAGGTACTCAGTTATCTCTACTGAGTTAAAACAGTCTAGGGGACTTCTAAGCAAACAAAGCTCTAGACTTACTTTCAAAATCTTACTGGAGTTTGCTGTTCTAAAACTATCATTTGGGTGTTGGATTTCTTGTGGCTTAGAGCACCCAACTTTGGTTTAGGGGACTCAGACCTACATTTTCCATCTGCTATTTGATTTTTGGAAGCTTTGCAAAAGTGAATCTCCAATTGAGAGAGAAGAAACCAGCAGGAGCATGATTCTGCTGCCTCCCGGGGATTGCTTACCTGGGACAGGCAGACCCCGAGGCTTTGCACCCAAGGACTATGCATGCATTTTGCCTTGTGAATTGAGTCCAAACAAAATAGTCCTTGTAGCATGGACTGGCGTTTACCCGTTCCAGCCAAGTGTTGTAACCACTAGACTAAAAAGTTATGCTTATATTTCTGTTCCCTCTCTCCAGCCCAATAAATCTCAAATTTCTTTTTTGAAAAACTTCAGAAAGAGCAATGTGTGAAGTGCTCCCTCTTTGCCTTTAAAGCATACATCTCCTTCAAGAGGCAGAAAGCAATATTTAGATGTTGGAGGATCATGTAAAATCTCTATTGACGTTTCATGTTCAGATATGCTGTATAAACTAGACTCCCATTCTGCAACCCTCATTCCTTTATACAACAGCTACAACCAAGACCCTGAACCTGAAAGCATGGAGTTCTTTGAAAATATGGAGCTGGATTCAGATCCAAATTTGAATTTCCTCACAGTTGCCTGTCTTCCATCTGTTTGCTTTTGGATGTCTCATAGGATATAAGCAGCAGTTCCATAGTGTCACACATGAATAAAGTGGATAATTGTAAAATTAAAAGATATAACATGCTTCTAGGGGAGATAAGACTACAATTAAAGAGTATAAACAAAACCGAGTTTGATGTACAGACTGATATATTTATTCATCAAATATAATAACATAAACAAGACTATTAACTGTCATATTTTAATGATACCATACCCTGCAAAACGTACTCAGGAAAAAGTCCTATTGACTTCAATAGCAATGCCACATAAATTTAAATCATGACTGCTGTAAAACAAAATGTCACCTCTCTTATTCATGGCTATTTATTTTACGTACCCTAAAATGTTAAACAAAATACCTGTAACTCACTGAACTGAATTTGAACTCGAATGTTCTATCTACAAATCTAAAGAAACCCAGCCTAGAATGCAGAAGCCTGTTCCACAAATAACTGAAATACAGTATTCCCAATAGGGGAAAAGGGCCCAGGCAAGGCCACTACCTGTCCTATCACTTTCCAGAAAACACTGTACATATTTTTGCTCAGAAGAAGGCAAAATTTGGGCAAATGCCACTTTGTATCAGCACTATTAAGATCAGATTCTGATTTTTATTTAGAAGGTTGACAGTCAGCAACAGTGGAAGCCTTAAAGGAAAAAGTTCTATCTAGAAAAAGTGTGTTAACTGGCTTGGGTAAGTACAAAGATAGTCTGCAAGGTAAAAAGGGTTTCAAGAATTCTTCACTGTTGTACACAGAATCTGTTCCAAGAAGATGTAAAATGACCGTGTTGAATCACTAACAATTTATCCACCCTTTGCTCATCCTCTTTGCTCATACAGGGTACAAGATGGGAAAAACAGCTCATGCAAGATCTCAGTGTGAACAGCACAAACTGAGGAAATCTTAAAAGGGGGTTCACCTCAAATTTGTGAACTGTGCTGAACAGTGAATTATTATGTCAAATGTTTCATTGTAAAATTCCTCATTAAATTCTTTGGTGTTCACCACACGCTCAGCATAACTTGAAGTGCTGAGAAAACGAATGCTTACTGTGCCATGACAAAGGCCAATGGTTGCCTCTTTACTGAGCTTGATACATATGGTGAAAACATATTGACTAATTACTTGCCATTTTCAAAAACTGACAAACACTCCAAAGTTAGGCCTAAAATAATAGAAGACTCAGTATGAAGAATAAAGACTGGGAGGATCAAGAGGAATAGTGTAACTCTGTTATTGCTAATCCCTCATTCAATGTTTCCTTTGACAAACGAATACTAAGGAATATCCCAGCATCTCAGTGTTTCAAACTGTTTAATGAAAATTAGTAAATTAATGCAGCTGATTAATACATCTGTTCAAAGCAGAGAGTGAAAATAAAGCCCAGATCCAGATTTCTCCCAAATATCAGCATGATATAGCTGGTATTTAGGATCTGGGTTCAGTTTTGAGATGCTCATTTTCCACCTTGTTACGGGGTTTGCCAAGTGCCAAAATCAAGAAAGGAATGGGTCTTGGTAACAAACTACTTCCAGGGAGATCTATTAAAGGGGTAAAAGTCAATGTGAAAAGTGAGACAGCAAGACACACTTCTCACTCCAGTTTTCAAATGTTGTTTTTGATGTAAATAGTCATCTACAGGAGTCTAGTCTGAGCTGCCTTACAGCAGTCCCTTGTACACAGCCTTCACTATGAGCCTTTCTAAAGCCATCTGATTTCCAGCACCTCTCCTCCGAGTCATGACAGATTGGTCCACTCATCTAATAAGGAATCTTCCCTAAGCAGTGGGACAAATGTTTGACAAGTTAATTTCAAGGTAGCTTGTGGCGTAGAAGCAACAAAAAGATACACAACTGTAAAAAAAATGTTGCTGGATAAATTCGGCCAGTAGTGGATGTGTAACAGAAAATACACTTAAAATTCAAGCTCTTTGTATTGCAATACAAGGTCTTTGCCTTAGAAGTAGAAAACATGAGGACTCACTGAAGCTAAGGTTAATGGGAATGCAATTACTGCTAATAGAGTTTTCTGAATATGAAACTTGTGCTGATGCATCCACTATTTAGAAATAATAGGAAAGGCAATGGATGACTTTTCAAAAATTAAAACAAGTTTAAGAAAAATCAATAATTATTCCCTATTATTTTTCCTTTAAACAATCCAGATAATAGAAATCGCGGACTTGAATAGGATGCCTAAAGTTAATGGCATTATTGGATTGAGAAAAAAGGAAGAGTGATCAAGAGTTTGACCCATTTACTAAAAAGTTCAAATGTAGAAACTCATTGTTCTACTAGCTCTAATTTTGTAAGTTCAAGACAAATCTCAAGCCATGTTTGGATGTTAAATGTAGTCATAAACAGAGACTAAGAGCAATTTATAAACATTTTTATTATATGAGAAATAGTTGCTATTTTAGAGACATGTAAATAATATGATGTCTTTCATAAAAGTTTTAGAAGGAGTTTTATTTTCCAGCTCATAAACCAAAAATAAAACACTTTAAGTGATTGACTTTCCTTTAAGTCCTTGAGCCTGATTTGATAACACTACTGGTAAAGTCTAGTAAAACTCCTGGAATAATTCCCGGTGTTTTGAACAGGACCAGACATTATCTGTACTGTTTTTCATTATTATTGCTGTTTTACTGTAAAAACCTGGGTAGATCATCACAACTTTGCCCCCGGTTGCATAAATATGAAAAGATTTAAAAGAGCAGCTGTTCTCCAAGGGGTGGGAAGAACCTTGCTTCATTTGCTTTTTAAAAAGTTTGAAAACCTTGAAGTCCCATAAGAACAAAAGATCAGCAGATGCTTTTCCTGCTCCGGTAGAGTTCCACCTCAAGTTTTCCAAAAGCATTGAATTGTGTCTGGGTAAAGAAAAAAAAAAAAAACAATTCTGAATAGAAGTAATGAAAAAAACACTCTTGTTTCTATTTGTTTAAATGGTTCCCAGGGCAATGGAGCCTTCCCCAGGTGGCCGATGAGCTGAACCCTCTCCCTGGGGGTGCTGCAGGGCAGAGGCTGTGAGGCGGGCAGGCACTGGGTATGTGGTGCGTTGGTAACGAGACGCTTTTTATGGTTTTATCACTTCCATCACTTTTTGTTCTTTCCACTGAGGTTTCATTTTTTTTTTCTTCTTTATTTCCCAGGAAGCTTATTGGCAGCGTGTGCTGTAAGTGGTGCCCTGACTATGCAGCATCACGCAGAAATGGTGGAAGAGCTGGGCAATCATGTGGGAAGTTCCTTCGGAAACTCAACTACCTCCTAGAGCAGCTGCGTTTTACTTCAGTTTTTTGTTTAATCTCTAGGTACAGCCGTTGCCGACTCATATGCAAAACTGCTAAAGGACTGCTTGCCATGTCTGAGTACGGCACCACACAATGGGCTGGGAATGCCTGAGATCATTTCCTTCCCTGCCTTTCATATCGCTGAACTGAAACCATCACTCGTGTCAAAAGCAAGGACTGCAGATGAAAGGCCAGTGCATTAAGACAGAACATAATTGTCAGTCTCTGAGTTTCTGACATTAATCGTTTTACTTAAAGAAGGCAGGGGAATGTTCTTCTGTCCCCCCCACCTCAGTTGACAACACACAGGAGAGAGTATGGATAAAAATTAAAAAAATAAATAATGACTCAAAATTTTTGCTAATTAAAAGTAATGTGTTTTCCCATTTTTTGGCAATTTGATAACACAAAACACTTACTTGGGGGCCACAGGGGGAAACAAACTGAGACGGATAAAAAATGTTTTGTGTTCATCCAAGCAAGACTATGTTAATGCACATTATCCCATTAATGCACATCAACATCGGGAATAAGCGCGCCAATGCAAGCAAGAAGCATACACTTATCATCATTTGATAACATGTTTAATGACAGATTGACGGTTGATTTGCAAATGTGAACTGGCATCAATGTTGCTAACTTCAGCTTCTGCCGCCTCCTCTGCTATGCCAGCATATTTATGTGCATAATTTGATTTCGCAGCCACACTGTTAGTACATTTTTAATATTAACTATGCAAGAACAGACAGCCGAACTTAAGTTGCACTGATGGTTTGAGTTCATTAGATTGAAAAAGATGGGCAATGATGACAAAGATGGAGATGGCAGTGCAACATCAAAGAGGCAACACTTAACAAACACACTCCATTTTGAACAAACCGAACTAACACATTTCATGTTGTCGGCTGCAGCAGAGCCCTTATGTACAACAGTAAGAAAAAAAATATGCTTCTGCCCTGGGCATACTGACAGCAACTCTACAAGAAGCTTAGCAGGCTCCTGGACACACAGTTGTAAGATATTTCACTCCTCTATTGTAGGTAAAGGGGTTGATTCTGGGCTGATGTCAGAGCGAAAACAGTGTAATTCAGTGGACCTGCAGCAGAATTGCTCCTGATTTACATCAGTCCAGGGGAGAGTGCCTGCCTCTTCCCACTCTCCTTCCCTAGTTTGTTCTTCACAGCTGCGATTCTTTATGACAAATAATAAAAAGATTTTGCTGAGAGTTCAGCTCTTGCACGCATGATGCACGGAGCAGAACTGCAAGTTCAGACACCCTGGGGCCTAACGCTGTGAGGTGTGTGATGTCCTTCCTCTGTCCCCAGACCCCAGCACCAGCAGGACTGGCTCCTGGTGACTTCCCCTTCTTTGGTGATTCTGGGCAATTCAATTTTGCTCTGAAGGGAACATGTACCAATGAGCTAGGAAGAGAATATTTCATCCTCTGCTCACATTAATGTCTGGGCATATACTGCATCTAGTATTAATTTGCTTGTTGTGCTGCAATATATAATAAATTTGAGGCAGTAGCTTTATGGTGCAAGTTGTAATTTTAAATTTTATGATACAAACTGACCATCTGCAGGAATCTGACCATATAACCTTCGCCATTCTGTGTAGACTGTAATGTTAGTACCTCTGAATCACGGTGCAGCTATGATTTAGACACACAATTAGATAGACCAGGTCCTCAACAATTCTCAGCTGTCTGAATTACTGCTGAACAGCCTAATAAATATATAACACATAGGCTGTTCAGAAAAGCTTTTAAGAATGTCCTGAAGTTTGCCTCTAATCAGCAAAGCACCTACTGCAATTACTGCTGCTTGGAGCCTGGTCCTGCAGCAGAAGCCCGTTGTGCTTGGCACTGCACAAAGAGAGCAAACACCTGCTGCTTGGGGACCGCCACTTGGGAGCTCCCTGTGTGGGACAGGCCATCATCGACTAGGGAGCTGTGAAGGACAGGGGAATGGGCAGAGGAATTGGTGTCTTTGCTGAGGAACAATTCAATAGGTTAAACTAGTAACTATCTTAAGAGGAGGACTGCAAAACTCTTTGGTACCCACGTAAAACATCAGCTACTGGGTTTAGTCATGGACACACTGCACCAATTTGTCAAGATGGGAAACTGAGTCAGGGAGCTGCAAAGGACCTTGCAGCATTCGGGTGGCTGCCCTCAGCTGGCAGCAGCAGGGCTGGGGACTCGAGTGCCCTGCTCTTGGTGGCAGCTCCTGAGCAAATCCTTCCTGCCAGGGCACTGACCTGACCTAGCTGTAAAGGCTGCTTTCCCTATTGTCAGCTGTGGAAAAACAAACGAACAACAACAACAACAACAACAACAAAAAACACCCTAAATCTCTAACTTCGCTAAAATCTCTTTGTGGAGGTCTGATCTCTTTTTAAGAAGAGACCTGCATTGCAGGGAGAGCTAATCCTGAGCCCCTGCTGCATTCGGTTCAGGCAGTTTATTTAGCAGCTGTGGTGGCTGGCACTGCACAGATGAAGGTTTGTGACCCCCAGAACTGAAAATCTATGAAAAGTAGGCAGCAACAAATGTCCTGGGAGACCTCTGGCATGTTAGGTTGAAACACATAAGCCTTTTTTTTTTTTAAATCTATTGATGTATTAGGGTCCCAAACCAGTGGCAAACAGAAAACTGCACTATGCAAGGTGCCACACAGAATTAAAGATGATCTCTCTCTTAAAAAGAGAATGACAATTTTCCAGTGATGCAGGCAGCTTTTGCTTAACAAACTGAAAACACAAGAGACTGTGGAAGCTTTCTTAAAAGTTTGGGAACAAGTAACTAACTAACTAAAAGAAATGCCAGCAGAGATAAATGCAAGGAGCAGGCCATGCTCGGTTAGAAGCTTGGGCTCATTTTGTTTTCTTTTAAGATAGCTCTGTACCATCAGTGAGCTGCTCAGCAAGGTAGAGCAGCAGCAGTGTTTCCTGCCAGTGAGCTGAGCAGGTCAGCCTGAACCCCGCAGCCTTGATGATTGCTCTGTTAACAGCCTTGTGCTGCCTTCGCCTTACCTGGGCTTTAGTTCCAGTTAGAAATAAAAACATATCCCAGGGAGAGTGAGCTGTGGTCACTGCTCACTCATGTTTCCTGCTGGAGGACGGGAATGCGGAGAGGAAAGGAGGGCTGCTTCCAGGCTCTGAAATAGCTCTCCCCTACCTCATTCCTGCCCTGGGGTGACCGGCAGCATGCTAGGTGCATCGCAGGGGTATGGGGCGTATCTTCCAGCTCTGTGTTTCCCCTTCAAATTGACTGAGATCCTGCTGTGACCATGCACTTATAACGCCGGTTGTAGAGAGCTCCAGAAAACAGGAGTCCTCAGCACACGGCTGGAAGAACCATTAGTTTTCCCAAGTCACAATTATCTCTGCTACTGCGCTTGTGTCCTCTTTCCTGTCTCAATTTAAGTAAGTTACATTTCTCCCACTCTTATTACTGAGTAGATGCAGATGCCACTTTGTTCTATGTGATTTATAGCCAGTAGCTAATGTTCAGTTATAATTCCCCAGTTTAGACATGAAAAATAGCCTGTAATGCTCAACACAAGGGCCTCTCAACAATGATATATAATTTAAAAATTAACATGAGGACAGAGGAGACACAGGATTTTGAACTAGGGACTCTCTCATTCAAAGGTTAAATCTCTACAAGGTGAGCTAAAGGAATTAGTTGAGTTATTAAGTAGATGCCTCTTATATTTTCCCAGTACATTAGCTGTTGCGGTCTTTTCCAGTTCAGCTGTGCTCAGCCCCAGCGTGTTCAAAGTGCAAATGCTCATGGCACTGCATTCACACATTTGCTTTTTTTCAATGTCAAACAAACTGGAGCTTTTCAGAGCCAAAGGTCAAAGTGGAGGGCCCTTAAGAAAATCTCTTGGGAAATTATGTGATTGTTCTTATGTCTTTATTGTATATAAAATCAGGCTTCGTACATGGCTCGCCCTTCCCAAGCATCTTAAAACTATAAATGAGTCATGACTCATTCCTGCAACACCTAAGTTATATAAGTGGTCTTGTTAATTTACTGGAATATCTTGCATAACTAATCATTTCCAGGATCAAACTCTGAAGCCTCTGAAGCCTCTGAAACCTCTGAACTGGTAAAGAGCTCCTTTAGAAATATAGAGAAGTTAAATCCTAGCCTTGCACAATGAGTCAAAAACAGATCAAGGGACAGAACCTGCATCATCAGACTCACTCTGCCAAATGCATGCCATAAAAGCCCTCTTTTGTCAAAGCCCAGCAACTCAGAAAACATGGAGGGAAGTGAGGGAGAGAGGAGAAGGAGAAGAGCTTGTCTATGAAGAGTTTTTGGAGGTAGCATTCCCTTCTTTATTTTTTGTTCACAGTAATAAGATGTAGCTCATCTCTTAGGTGTCTCCTGCTGCACTCTGTTTAACCCTGTCTCACTCCAGCTCCAATATTACATTTATGGATTACAAATTTATTGACATTTGACATTTGCATCAGCTTTCACTTGATCAACAGGAGCTTCAGCTGCCAAAGGGAATTATTGTGGAAGATTTCAACAGCCATGGGAATGCCAAAAAGGTCATTAAATCATATCGGAAAAACAATGTGTTCATAGCATTCATACATTTAGTCTTGCCAGTAAATCTTCTGGTTGATGCTTGGACCACCTACTGATGATACTCAAAGAGAAGGAGAAACAGGGAGAATCGAAGAGATGAATTAAATTAAAACCAAATGACATGAAGCCTGGCACAGTGGGATCTTTAATTTTCTACTCTATGAATCCAGAATAAGGAAAAACCAAAACAAAGCACAGTGGCTTGACTTTATCTAAGTTAATTCCCTCATATAGGCAGGGCTTAACTAAATAATCCTGAGTAATGTGTGCACCCCACATTATTGCATGCAATATGTGGGAGGTGCAGGATTCAGAAAACATATGGCACATGGAAAACAAATGACAGGGTGTGCTTTTACACTCTTTTTGGCTATACTTATCACTTTTGTTGATATTTTTTTAAAGACATGAAATATGAGTATAGGAACTTTCACACTAATCTCTTTGGAAAAATACTGAGAATTATTTTTTTTATGCGTTTGTGATTTATAGAAGAAGGACACATAATTCCTAGGAGCACAGACAATGTTTTAAAAAAACATTGATCAAATAAACAGAATTACATCCCCCATCCTCTTCTCCCTGCATGACAAACCTGGGTCTTGCATCATAAAAAACCAAGGCCAACAGATTAGGGCTCCATAGGATTATGAAGGGAAGTGAATTACTGAACTGGAAGCCCACCCACAGCCTATCTGTCTGTGTATGCCTACTCTAGGGGCGAGATTCGCTGAGGACTGAATCCATGCAGCCATTTGCCACTGAGCTGAGTGAGCATAAAGAAAGTATTAAGCTTTGCCCTTCTCCAATGGAAGAGCAGCATGTCCAGTTTACATGAAAGTGGCAAAAACTGGCCATAGCACTGTTATATCCCAGAGGAACACTTCTTCTGGGATGTCCCTTGGGATGTAGATCAATAGGTGGGTAAAAGGCAACATCAATCTTCTTAATGGCCCTGTAAAGTAAGTTGGTGGCCATGAGGACTCAGTCCCTATAGGAATCAGTGCCAGTGGCTTGACTTGACCTCAGAAATCCAGTTGGCATTGTGCAGCCACTGTTGTATTTGGAGCAGTGGTGCGGCGTGTGGCTAGGAGGTGACTGCACAGAGATTGCTTGGAGAGGGCAAAGACAGGGCACTGGGCAGGCAGCTGCTTCTAAACCTTGGCTCGAAACAAGGGAGAGAAATGGAGAGATGGAGATATGTGATGGAGGTATCTGCTGGCAGCTGTGCGCTACACTGGGATATTGGTTGTACATATCAAGATACATAATTTCAGGTAATCGATGTGGTTTTTGGTATAAACTTGGGGGTCTTTAGAAATAGGGAGTGTTTGGGAGTTTTCATTAAATGACCACATGAAAACAACAATTTCACATTTTGGATTTGAACAGTTCTATTACAGGAGAAGGGGAAAACACTTTTGTCTGTGTACTTAGTATTTTGGAGGTTTAGAAAAGCTGAGCACAAACCCAGAAGGGGTCTCAGTAACATTATCCATGAGCAATAGAACAAGCAGTTTTGCCTCCTCTGAATTACTGGTCCATGCTAATATGAAGCCTGCAGTGAGACTGGAAGTCCTCCTCTGTGTACAGCTGAGAGAGAAATCTGATCCCCAGCTTGCTGATTGAGGGTGGTGGTTTTATCCCATCATGGGAAATTCTCATGGAAAGCAAAATGGAGAAAAGAAGGGCCCCCTTAGATCTGGGGGCCTGATGCCACTTCTAAAGTCTAGGTGTGATTTCTTCCTTGCCTGTGCTTAGCTAGGTGCAAAGAACAACCACACAGACTCAGCACCACTCTGTCTGCCAAGGGCTGGTTTGTACGTCCCCTGCTTCCTGCTTTACAAGGGGGCACCTCCAGAGCTCACCCCAAGAGGCCTCAGAGTTGTGCCCAAGTTTCTGCAGTGATCAAGAAGATCTCACGTGCTCTGCAGCTCTGGAAGCAGGGGAGCAAAATCTCCTCTGGCCAAAGAAGTCCCTGAACTGCAAAACTGGAGGCTGGGAGAATCCTTTATGGATGGAAAAGGGTGAGCCTTTGACCCAGCCCTCTATAGCTATTCTGATGTTCTCCCTCACTCCTATTCAGCTTTAAGAGAGGAAACAAAATGTCATAACGAAAGTCTTAGCAGTGTTCAGTTGTTACACGCCTCCTGATAGAAAGGACTGTGCATGCTTAGGGCTAGGGAATAGAACGTGAGCACCAAGCGAAGGCAGTTCTTCACTTACAGCTGAAGGCTATGAGCTCGATGGCACAGAAGCTCAGGCTGCTACTGGTGCAGGGAGAGGCTGTGCCGCTGGGGAAGGGGGAGGCTCCCTCCAGCACCTCAGCTTTTGGAGCCTGAGGGACTGCACGGCACAAGCAGCAGAACCTGACCTTGGCCTTCACCAGACTGTGCAGATAACTGCTGGGAAAGGCAGGAGAAGTAGGATCACATGGAGGTCATGGCCTTACTGATCTCTTTTTTTTCGGGTGAGCTTGAGGGCTGAAATGTTTTGGTTCTCCAGTGCATCCCGAACCCACCGTTTTCATCCCCTCCTGGAGCTCTTGGGTGGCTGTGTGAATCGCAGATGGGCCTGGCAGGAGAAAGGGAAACCAGAGGATGCTGAGAATGCTCTGGCAAACCACATCCTCGCCTTTCTCTTCCTGGCCTGATTTGATGCCTTGCAGCTGCTACTGCATGCACAGGGTTTCAATGCCAGGTCGCTCAATAATAAATCAGAAAGAAACTGCTGGGGTAAGGGGTCATGGGGATTCTGAACATCTCATTCACTCTGAGGCTTGTGATCCTCCGCAGTACAGGCTTCCCAAAGGACAAACTCCTCTGTACCCACTCTGCTGTAGCAAAGCACTGAGCAAATGGTCTTTGCTGGGCTGAGCAGGCGAGGGAAGGCAGCAGCTGCCAGCGCACTCCGTCGCTTGATCTGACACAGTTGCTCGAGGAGGTGGAGTGGAGGGAGCAACCACATGAAAACCACTCCAGCCACCTCTCCTTTCCCTTCAAAAATGTCATTTTGGCACCCTCCACTCTCTATAACAATGTTTATCATTGTTCTTCGATTGTCTAGGACAATAAATGGTTAGAAATGAGCATATATCACCAGGAAATCTCTGCCTGCCCCTTCCCCCAAGCAGTGTCATAAAAACGTACAAATTCACATTAATAATGAAGTGCATTTCCCCGAGAAGCCACTGTGTATCTCAGGGAGAGCAGGCAAGGTGGCAGTTGCTGCAGAGTTTCCTATTAAAGAGCAGAGCAAATACTCATAAATCTGATGAGGGGCCAAAGCACATGTTAGGGCTGTCTCCCTCTTAATGGAACCTTTTCTGAAATGAAAAAAATATATATCTCGATACATTCAGGGTATTCATTAGACATGACAACCTCCTCCACTCCCCCATCCTTCCCTCCCCCACTCCTGCATGTGCTGACCCCTGGCAAAAGAGCTGGTGCTGAGTGCTGCCAGGGAGGGATTTTGGAGGGGAGGAGGAATTGTTTTGTTTTAATAAAGGGAATGTGTAAATTTCCTACAAGGAACAAGTCCCCTCTTCCCCCCATCTCCCTCCTTTCCTCCACCCCAGCAAGCTGCCACCATACCCTCTGTTTCTGCCCCCCTCTTGGTCTCTGCTGTGCCTCTCATCCTTCCCATGTGTCCAGAACCAATAGAACCAATGCTGTGCCCCAAAGCAGGACCCCTCTTGTAGAACTGAGCATAGGGAACCTTTCCTGCCATCTCCCACCTTCCAGGGATCAGTCAATTCATGCTCTCAGGATGCACAAACCTTCAGACCAGGGAAGGTGGCAGGGTGGAGTCTCAGTCCCCTCAGTTCTCCAGGAGCCGTGGTTTTGCTACCTGGTGCAGTGACTTGATGTTAGAGCCCTTATCACAGACTGGAAACCCAGGATCTGCTGCCCCTTTCTCGAAGGCGAGTTGAAAAACACCGTCACAGTTAAGAAATAAGCTCTGTGCTGTGCATGGCTTCTTCTACCTCATTTCTCTTCTTGCAGAAAGGGTCCTGAGTGGCATCTGTGCTGGTGTAAATCCTGCATGACTTCATTGCTGTACAAAAACTAGTGCAAAGGCCAGACCTTTCCCATCAATGGACCCTGCCTAGATGCGCAAACAGACCCAGCTCTGAACCCAGGAGAGAAAGAATAAGGCCTGAAGACTACAGCTTAATAATCATGAATTATCTGCTCATTATCCCAATAAATAGTGAAAAATCTCTTCCTCCTTTCCTCCTCCCATGAAGTCATATCTATAATTTTCCTCATTTTCCATCTGTGCTCCATCATATTTGCACAGGGTGATCATCCTGCTAAATTGCATTATTTTTATTGAAAGGTGCTTTTGAGGGCTGGATGCTGCTCATGTCTTTTCCTTTTGTTATTGATCTTTGCTACTTGGTTGCTGAAGTGTAAAATGTATAAGACTCAAATACTCTCCCTTTGAAATTTCACTGGGTAAAAATGTTCTGCTATAGATTATGAAGGCTGTAGCATTTAATAATATCAGATGCAGCAAGGAGAAGGTATGATTTTGATATCCTTATGAATAGTGAATACTTGAAGAGGTAGGTGCTATTCAAGGTTAGTTAAGGTCTGGTCAAAATGCTTAAAAGTTGCTTTTTCTTTGTGAATTGAAGAATTCCTGCCATTTGGGGGCAGGAACTGTCATTTGCAGTATGCTCATACAGAGCCTAGAAACAGTATCGGTTGACCTAATGCAATGTTAAATAATACTGATCTTAATGGTAACCTGTAGTATTCCTAAAAAGCAAGTAAATCTGCACTGATATATCTGTGCTGATGTCCTCTGATCTGGCCTGACCCTGCTCTCAGGGAAGCCAAGAACACACTATTACAGGTTTTGCAAGGGCTAGTGCTAGACTGAAGAAACTTTATCCAGGCAAAGTTTGAAGGTTTGAAAATGTTAAATTGAAAATGTTGTGATCTAGTGTTTTGGGGAAACAGTGAGAAATTTCAAAAGATGAGAAATTTCAAAGGATGAGGGGACTGAGGCTTCACTGGAACACAACTATTTTGAGGGAGGAGTGATCACTTGGAGGTAGGGATCTGAGGACGGGCTCTGCATCTCTCCTCCACCACAGAGGAAAGGCCAACTTATTCCTTTTCCTAGTGTACTGCCTCGTCATTTCCCTTTTCTGGTGCTCAGCAATTTTACCCACTTTATCCCAACAAAAGTCTGTTTTAAAATGAGATGTCCATGCAGAATATATATATATTTTTTTCCATTGTCAAGTAGGGTGTTAGAAAAGTCCCGTTCAAACCAGGTAATCAAGGCTTTCTTTGTGGTGAACCCTCTCTTTCTGGCTGATGACAAGGTGAGCAGAACCCTTGAGCAGTTTCGTTGGTAAATTCTGCTTACAATGTCATGGTGGACATAACTGCAGTCCCAGCATGTTTGATTCTTCTAAGAGGGTCTCAGTTTTTAATGTTTGCTGCTAAGAAGAAGTGAAACATGAAGAGCAAGCTAAATTCTCTAAAATACAGTTTTGGACAACTAATTCATGCAATTGGCCTTGCCTGTGTACCACCAATATTGGCTAATAGCAGAATGTGATGTTCAGAGCAGCTCCTACTGTTTCAGAGGAGATGAGAAAATAAAATCCACAGACAAAAAAAATCTTCTATTTTGGTATACTTAACACATACAGTTATCTACGTGTCCTATATATCATTTAACAAATTGCTTTGCAATTCTTACAGGGCGTGGTATAATGACTGATTTAAAATCACTGCATTGCTTAAACTGCATTGTTCTTCATCAAGTTGAGTCATTTTTATGTGAAGTGTCAAGCTCTCTAACAAATAACTGCTGCCAGACAAATCAAGTTCCTCATCTTAAAGCTACGGCTAAATAGTTTATAGCTTTAATCTGCTCACTGAGGTGTGCAGTCTATGACAGTAATTATAAATGCAAGGAGAAATTATAGCTGAATGCTTTAACTGCATTAGGAGCCATTTGATGAACAATCATGATTGCCTGCTCATTTTCAACAATAGAGGGCAAGTTAGTGTCAGTGCATTAGAGGATTTTCAGTTCTGCTCTGCTCTTTCTTCCATTTACCACAGAATGTCAGTTGTCTCCTATAAAGTAGAAAAAAAAGCACTGTAGAAGCTTTAAACTTGATGGTTAAAAAAAGACAAAGGAGGAAACAGAGAGAAAAACTGTTTATCATTATGACTCATTTTTTTGTTTTGCAGCAGCCTTACTTTCAAATTAGTTCATTTCAGGTAGCTGTTTGTTTACTTATCAGGGTCTTTTAAAAAGAAATCTCTCCAATCAAGTTGGTAAATTTAACTCTATGGAGACTTATTTCTATAAAAAGTCATAGATAAGAACAGAGAGAGCCTCGGTTACTGACCAGTTTCTAGCCAACCCTATCACCTGAATTTAAAGTGAGAAATAAAATTTTGCATTGTCTTTTCTTCTTGGATCAAGTTAAAAATTCTAGTTTAAATAAAAAAAAAATAATAAAAAAAATAAATGCTCTTCAAAGGTCTTAGTCAACAAACAAATTAAATCTGATTAAAGCCATGCTCCCTAATGTTCATGGGTTGTCTTTGAAGAATAGCAATAAAAACAGTTTTGTAGCAGGTTAAATGAATGAGAATAGAGACATCTGATTGTTGCATATTACACATGATTTTACATTATATTACTAAGCCCATATCAGTTAAAGGAATTCAAGAAAACACCAAAGATGAATATAAAACAGACATGTATGTCTTTACATTTAAGAAGAATTTATAGTGAATTTCTTATAAACAGGCTCACAGAGGTCTTAGAAATAAAACCATATACATAACACATTTTTCTACAGTACTATCACCGATTATTCATTCATATTTTAATGATAGTCAACATTTTAAAATAACTTTTAATAGTATATTTCATTAAAATATATAAAGTAGTTAAAGTATTTCTCTACTGAGTACACTTTCCACTGTTTTATTTCCATTTATTTCCATATATTTTCTCTACTTTTATTTCTATTCCACTACAGTATTGCCTAGAAGTGAATGCAGATGCATGTGTACATTTTAAGAATTTCAGTATGCTTTATATTTCTTGTTTCTAAATACTGTGCTCTTCTCTATGTTTTTATTCAAATGCATACTGAATCCTAAAATACATGGTATGAATAAGTAAACCCTGAAAATCTCTGTTATTTGATTTAGTCTCCTTGTAGATCTCAGGAAGAAACCATATGAATAAACTCTGGCCTCCACACTTTTAACATAGTCAGAACTTAGGTAGGCTTACAGCTCCAAAACTGTAATAAAATCTTTACAATGCTATCCAAAATACCCCATCATTTCATACAATTTGTGCTATCATGCATACCAACTAAAATTATAGTTCCAGATAACAGTGCTATCACTCTGTCATTGCAATTTAAATATATTTTTTCAAAGGTAAGATACAACCTGCATCTTGATATAAATTAGAAATGGATGAGTATTAAAAGGACAGCAATTTCTGGGTACCCAAAGGCAGGAAGGACAGTACCTTATTTATGTAGTCACATATCACCTGAATAATACCCGTGATGTGTCTGTGGAGGTTATTACAATGCAGAAACCATTTTTTTCCCTCTGAGATTTTTTTTTCTTTGTACTTCTTCCCCAAATCCTGAGGAATAGTAACATGTTTATAAAGGTGGGTGTTTGGTTTGCCTCTTCATAATAACATGGTGCTTTTAAGACCAAATCTGAAACATTTGTCAGGTATTAAGCCATGAATATGCCAAAATAGCTGTTTTATTAATATGTTTGGCAGATAGCTTTTGTTTGATAGTACCCAAATTATTGGTTTGCTCTGATATCTCTTGTGTGAAAACTATGAATGTCAAAGTCTTAATAATCGTTAACTGGTGAGGAAGGAAATGAAATATGGTACATTTTTCCCAACCAATCTCTTGCAATTTTCTGATATTTTGGCAGGTATATTGATTTTGAAGGGTTATAGAATGGTTAGGCAGAAAATCAGTTATTATCAGACAAACAAGGAACATTTATTTTCTGTTTTTGTACTAGATTCTAATGTTGGGTTAAAAATGCCAAAATGGACATTTAAGGATATTAGCATTATTGAGAAAATAAACTCCCTTTGAGTTGAACTGTATTTTTCTGGCTAAAATACGCAGAAGGAATAAATCCAGTCATAGACAGACAGTACATACATGATGTATGCAAAACTTAAACCTTACTGCACTTGAATACTGACGTTATACTCTATAGTAATAGCTTATATTACCCATCCCAAAGTAACCCTTTGATTAGTGGTTTAAATTATTCAAAAGTAGTCTTTTTATCGAAGCTTAAGTGATGCATAGTCCTTGTGCTGGCTTTGTACACCGAAAGTGTTTTTTAAAGCCTCCTGAATATTTGCAGCAAACAAATGTGAAATCTTCACACAAACGGGTATTCATCCTCAAAGTGCTTGCACCCTCAATTAGCCAGAGAATAGCCACAATAGCAGCTGGCGTAAGTGACAATTCACAACACATCTTTAATTTTGACTGTCTGATGAATTCATTTTCCAAATGTTATCTAAGTAATGAACATGTTGGAGAAAATCTGAATCTGCACATGATTATTCTGCAAACAGAAGCAGTGCCTGAGTTTGCTGGTGAAATTGCTGGGAATGACTAACAGAGCCTTGCTGGAAATAAACGTGTTAGAACAGAAAACTTCTATTTGGACTTTTAGTTGATGTCTGCATATTTATTTAAATCAAGAAGATTCAAGTTTGTGAATCAAGCAAAATTAAAAACGCAAAAATTGTGTGTAATCTGAATATTACATTACATATTATAAACATTGATTGTGGCAGTACTTCGTTTGGTGCATCTTTCAGCAAAAAAATAAAATAAAAAATACCAACAGTAATGTATAAGTATCCTATTAACAGGTCTTTGAAATATTAACCTTGTAAAAAAATCTAGCAGTTTCCTCAATTAAGCATCAACCCCCTCCCTCCCAGGTTATACGAAATCTTGCACTGAAGTCAGTGATGTTCCTGGATTGACATGCCCACCAACATGAAACAAAATATAATCACACATCTTCAGGATTAAAAAAGGAACGAGCAGAGACATGATGGAGAGGAAGGTTAAACTGATGTTACAAAAAAGGCCACTCACAATAGTAAATGTTTAAGTAAGTGTAAAATATTAAAATATTTTACAAAACTGAATATCCAAATATTATTGAAAGAATAACCAAACTTCTGGACATAAACTTTTCAATTATTAGTAGATTCTTCAGGTTGGGTTTGAGTGTGTGAGGAACTTGGACTATTTATTATTTTGCTAATTTGACATTTGAATTGTCTTCTTTTCCCCCATCAAAATCAGATTTACAGGTGTGTTAGCACTGAAGGTTGTAATCTTTTGGTTTTCAGTGCGCTTTTTTTTTTTTTTTTTCCATTCTCATCGTAAAAGAGTAGCATCTAGTTGTTGCATTCCACATTGAAGTGCATAGGATGTGAAAACTATTAATTCTTAGAAACAGAAAGAGAGTGAGAACTGGGAAAACAGCTATTTTGAAAATAAGAAGCAACTTTTCTGTATGGGGCAATGTAGTTCTGCATTTATCAAGCTCTCTTCCTGAAAACATTATAAAATGAATGTGTACATGCAATCAGATTAATGAAGCAGCAGTACATTATGCATTTTATAGTGTTTTCCTACATTTCATAAAGTACGAATGTTTTAAGAGGCCTCCTCACAAGGATGAAATCAAAACTCACTATAGAGCATGCATACCTTAAGAGTTATTCTTCATCCACTTCTGCTACAAATTGTGAATGGTGTTCTGGTGACTTGCTGTGTGTTTTGCTTAGATGAAGTTTTACTGCATGTTTGCTCGCAAATGTCCGACAGCACAACTTACATTTGAACTTAGAGTCTGTGTCCTCTTCTCCAGCTATTGTTTCAGGAGATCTTTGAACTGAAACTCTGGAGATTTCTTGCTCTACCTTGGTTTGCTGCTCCACAGCCAGCCTGTTCATGTCTTTCATTTGGAAACCTAGATGAGATTCTAAGTGGCTAATGTAAGTAGATGGGGTTCGAAATTGAGATGCACAGTCGCTGCAATAAAAGACTGGATGCCCTTTGTCCATGTTTTTCAAAAACTTTGTTCCTCCGGTTTTCCTAAGTTGGTACTTGACGTTTGCCAACCAATGGCTGATGGTGGTCATTGACAGTCCGGTAAATTTTGAAATCTGCATACGCTCCTGTGGGCCTAGATCTGATAATAAATATTTACCTTCGGATGTCTGGAAGAGGCTGGAAGCAAATTGAGCCTGCAAAATGAGGAGATGCTGAGGGTTCCAGTTTGACTGTCTGCCCTTCCTTTTATGCAGAGTGGAGACTTCTGTTGAGACATCCTCAAAGCGTCGGACATCTATTTCCAATTTCATAGATGGGATCCTTGAAGATGCAGCAGGTTTTGGTGTAGTAGCTTTGGGAAGAACTTTGACCATGTCAGCAATGTCAGACAGAGCATGTTTTTGAGGTGGAGAAGTACAGGATTGTGCTTGAGCTGACTCAGCTTTCTTGCCTTTAGATTTGGTCAGGTCAATAGGCTGATCATTGTTTTCAAACAAATAGTGCCTGGACACACTTGCAGGCTTTGGTGGGGTTGGAGTAGGAGATAACACTGGCTTCTCCATCATATTTAGATTAGATTTGTGGAACATAGAAATTGTGCTAGAGCTGGGACTGGAGTTGGATTGAGGCCGTAAAGGCTCTGTGGCTTTGCCCAAGTGATTATTTAGTACTGACTGCAGGGCACTGAGAGGGTTGACACAAGGCAGCTCAGATGAATGGTTGGCAGCAGCACAACCATTGCTAAGAGAAGCTGCTGTTGGTTCCTTGAGGACTGGTTTTTCTTTTCCACTGTCCTCTTTAATTTTGTCTTCTTCTTTCAAGGGGCATGGTTCCGTCTTTTTTGGCTCCACAGAGACTTCAGATTTGAGGGGAGGTTCTCTTTCACTCTGACTGAGTGAGGCAGGCTCAGCTTGGATGCTATCTTTAGCATAGTCCTTTTGTACTTCCTCCTTGTCATCAGTTTCTTTCTTCACTTGAGTGCACTGGGCCACATTTGCTGATATAGGGACCAGAGGCATGACCTTCCACTTTGGAGCTATGGGCCTCAACTTATTGGTGATGGTTGGCCTGATTTGCAGTACTTGGGAACCCACAGGCAAAGATGGCTTAGCTCCCTCTGAGAGCTGATAAGCTGCGTGGATGCTGGGGTATGCGCTCCAGCTGGGTGCTCCATTCTGAGCTTTATTGATGGCTGTTGTGACAGTGTTCTCCAAAGACTTTAAAATGTCCCCACCACCCTTTGAACCATCTTCTAAATCTTCTTCTCTGAGGTACTGGTATTTCATTGTGGGATCCAGTGGTTTCTGAAGGGTGTCTTCATACTCTTCAGTTTTCACTGCTTTCTCATCTTTGTTTGCATCATCAGTTTTATCTTTTTTACTTTCTTTTTTTATTTCAGAAGTGGGAGCTATGCATTCTGCAGATGATTTACTGTTTGATTTTGAAACCGGGCTGTCATTGGCTGGTGCTTCAGACAGTGATTGCATTTTTTCCACAGCTAGAGGATCCAGAACAAGTTGCTTTCCTTTCTTTGAAGCTGAACTTGTGACTTTCAAGAAATGGCCAGTAACCATCATGTGGGTCGTGAGCTGCTGCAAGGTGTCATGGGAGCTTCCACACTCCATACACTTCAAAATCTGGGATTTACAGGCCTCAAACTGCCAAGTATAGCTGGCGCCATTCTGGTAGCCATAGCGGTTGTTAGATGACAACTGCAGGTTCGCGTTCTTCTGCGGAGAAAAAGAATCTGAGAAAGACCCCGTTGTGGAATCGGGGGAACAAGGCCTGTTAACATCAAACACACGTTTCTTTGCTGGAGTGACCATTTTTGAAGAAATGGTTGGTACCGGCTCCTTCAAAGGCACTTTTTGGTAATGTTTTGTTTTTATCATATGAACGCTCAGATCTTGAAGGGAATCGAAGGAGTCACCACAGAACATACACTTCAGAACTTTTTGTGCATCTTCCTTGTCCATGTCCTGGAAAGCCCTTTTTCGAGGCTTTGAGTAGCTGGTAGGTCTGTGCTTGTCCTTTTTGTGGTTGTCATCTTGATAGTGACCTGTTTCATTCATATGAACTGTTAGTTCGACCAGCGTGTCATAGGCAGCACTGCACTGCCGGCACCGAAACCTGCTGGCGCCTGTGAAAACAGTTCCACACATTTTGCTGCTCTGCCTGTAGAGCTGGACGGAGCTGAACAGGTTGGGTTTCGAGACAGGTCTGGAAGGTAAATTCTGTTGTAAGCTTTTTGACAGTGCGTCTTGGTGCCAATCAAAATCAGCTTTGTTCCCTCCATTTCTGTTGTCACAACTCCTCTTTTCAGAGTTAGACAACTTGAAACCCAGCCCTAAGCCTGTCCAATAAGAGTCTGACAGTATGTTGGCATAGACCGCTGTCATTTTATCCATGCAATTGTGTGCTTCATTCTGGGCTTTGGGATGGGTGCTGGTTTTTGGATCCTGTGGCTCTCTAGAGCAAATGCTTTTAATATCTGTCACGTGGTCACTACCATCACTTAGTAGTGATTCATTTTCTGCATCCTGGTTAGATATATGACTGACAGGGGAATTCTGGTAACTAAAGTTCCCTTTCTGCTCAGGACCCACATCATGTTCCTCATCCGTGCCAGTGTCATTGCTGCCCTGGAGGTGAGCAGTTGAATTGTTGTCATCATCATCTTCTTCCTCCTCCTTTATATCTTCTTCTTCCTTTAAATCTTCCTCTTGGACATAACCTGAAATGTAATGTCAATATATGAAATAACTTGCTAAAGGAGAATGCTACAGTTCAAGATTTCTAGTTTCACTGTGTTTTCTTTACTGGACTTCATTTTAATCTACAACTTTATTGCTTGTTACTTCTGGAAGTGAAAAAAAGCCAAATGATGTCTCTTTTTGTGAAGGTTGCTGCATTTTATTGGCAGATGATCATAATTCTTTATAACTGCCAGAGATTCTGAGTTAATAATTTTCCTGTCATGGGACTATAATTCTAACTGTCCTGTAATGGGACAGTTGGAAAATTCATATGTAAGAACTTAAAGTTTATTCTAAAAGCTTCAATTCTATCAAATTGTTTTTAGCCTCAGTGAAAGGAAGGGTAGAATTGGCAAGAAATAGAAGAAAAATAACTGCCATAATCTTCCTGGTTCATAGAATCATCTAGGTACAGTAATCTTTTGCCATTTGATCACCTAAAAAAAGCACTTTAGAACGTACACAAATAATTTATATGTCAAAATACAACATTTGAAAGCACTAATAGGCTTAAGTGGAACTCTTTTGTTTGTAAAAATAATGTACTGTGTGCCATAAAAGCAAATTGTGCTTTGATAAAAACACGTACATATGTTTCAGGGCGAGAACCCTTGGAAGTTACAGAAGAGTATTTGGATGTGACAGAGGTAGACCAAAGTTAACTATAAAACTGGAAAAATAGAATAAATCCAGAATGATTTTCTTTGACAAATGAACTACGTAATTAATTAAAATGAACTTGATAATATAAGAGTTGTAAATTTTTAAATTAATTAAGGATTTTTTTTTTTTTCCCCCTGGCCCTACATCAGTAGTACTTCTCTTGAAATTATCGGAAATAACCTAGGTAGAAATAGACTGAAGAATCAGAAAAGGGGATCCTTAAGGGTGAACCATCTCCACTGCAGTCACTGTATAAATTCCCATCAACCCATCACAACCAACAATTCACTCCCAGAAGGGATGGAGCAGTAGAACTGGTTCAGACATTTTTTTCACAAGATTCTTGAGTAATTTTTTTAACAGCCATTGCAGAGCTGTTACATGCAATGCAAGCAGCTATTGAAACAATTCACTGTTACAGACAGCTACTCATCAAAACCAAGCACTGATTTCAGAAGCACAGGTCTTTGCAGGAGATAATTCAATGTGCTCTTTCAGGTAGGAGCCAACACTGTGGTGCTAACCCTTGGGATTGCACAGCAGGGGTACTTTACTCTGCATGCTGAAGACCTAGCTTTTTGTGTCATGTAATTTTGTAAAACCACAACTCCAAAACTCCCCAGTTAAAGCTGCCCTTAAAAGTAACAAGGCAAAAATAAAATAAAACTCTACTAGCTGTAATTGTGAAGTAAGACTTTAAATCATAACGTTAAAAGCTCAGAAAGAACAAGGCAAATGAACCTAAAAGTGTTACTTGTTTAAAATCCAATTCCTTCCCAACTTCTAAGAAAAGCCAATGAATGGCTTTTTGAGAACCTGGCTTATTTTGACATGCTGAATTTGGTAATCTTGTGCAAATTATATTCTTACAGCAAATCCAAATAGAGGGGCAGAAAAGCTAGAAACATTTTTGTTAACATACAGAAGAGGCCTTTCACATTTTTTTCATCTTTCAATTTTCCAACCTACGTGCATTTAAGAAGAACTGGGAATGCATCAGACCCCTTCTAACAAGAGTTTATGGTCAAGCCAAAGAAATGAACCACAATTGTTTCCTGGATTAACCTGCAGCATACAAAGAGGGAAACAATGGCTCTCTCTGTGCTGTGCTAAGAAACCCACATAAACCATCTTTCCTACACCATTCCCATAGTTTTAGGACCTGTGCAGATCCCAACAGCTTAGAGCTGGGCTTGACTTACTCCAGGCAGCTTCATGACCAGAGGTATAGGTAGCAGTAGTGGCTAAGAGCAAAGGACTTGGACACCATCTTAACAGGAGGAAATAACGATCATATTTGGGAGGAATGCTATGCACTTCAGGAGATGCTTTCAGCAAAGTAGATAACATTAAATGTTGTGTTAAATATTAAACCAGTAAGTCTTTTAGCAGTATGTTGGGGTACAGCAAATATTAGTAGCCCCATTTACAGATGATCAGACAGTAAAGACAATACTAAGAGTAAAATATTTATCTCACCACCCTGAATGTCTTCCCTGATAACAAGATAACGCTTTCCATGTATCCCTTTCTAAGCTCAAATGTTTTTCAGGGGGACGTGGAGAATGGAGGGACATGGAGGCGGCAAAACTCCTGCACGTCACGAGCAGTAACCTTGTTAAACAAGCAGCATGAACTGATGAGCAGGACTGACATGGTTCTCGCGGTGTTAGAGATACTGCACAGCGTAGGTAGCAGCACTGGCCCCTTGCCAGGATGTATCACAGTGCCAAGCATATTACACCCAGCAAAACAAAAATAAGGAGGGAATTCAATGAAGGAATCAGACAAAACAGACAACAAATAGCATTCACACAGTTTTGGGTCAGTGCAAATTTGATTCTCCATTTCAGCACCAACTCTTTGAATATTATTAACCCATTTTTCACCAGAAGGTATTTTTTTTTTTTTACTTTGGATGATACATAGAGCGGTTCCTTCTCCACCATATCCTTTGTCCTTCTAAATGGATTTAGTAGAAAAAACAGAAGTACCAGACAGCTGCACATCCCCCACAATACAGATAAAATTTTCTGCTTAATTAGGCATTGACATGTTTACTATAACCTTTACAGAAGAGTAACTCGTGCTGAGAAATCCTCTTTTTTTGTCTGCATAACATTCAGACATAATCTTATGATAGCAGTAAAATAACTTTTTAGAAAGCATTGTCAAAATTTCACAAAATCATCAGTCAGGTCCACTTTAATAACATCTAAGGGTTCTGGGCAGCTTTGAAAGCACATTTCAGTATCCTACTTGTAAGATCATTCCTGTTTATCTAAATGATTTAAGTTGCTGTGGGCATTTTAAGGATGGTGGAGACCTCTTCTGTGCAGAGAACCTAGGGTACAAGAAATGCATGTCACCTTCCAACAGTGTTTTTTAGTAAGATTTCATTGCATGTAAAGCTTGATATGAATTAATGTAGCTATTTAACAGAAATAACATTAATGTAAGTCAACTTTGCATTATTTATTTTATAAGCCTTATATAAAGAGTGTCTTAAGTCTTTACACCCACATGCTTTAAATGCAGTGTCTGTAATAAGTAGCATAAATTTTGCATGTCATACTGATGTCCATATAATAAATTGTTGAGTGACCTGTTCTCTTCCCACCAGTTCTCCCCCAGGCTTATTCTGACATTCCAAACCTCTGAGTTGATCATATATAGCTGTCTTATGGAAAAAATAAAACTATATATATATATGTAAAAGAAATCCAAACTCCGTAACCAGATGAATGCTTCCTCTTTTTCCCATCTGAGAATTTTTCCCACCAATATTAAACAGGCCCAGTCAGAGATGGGAGATGTGCAATGTGCGGTCCCAAAGAAGCAAGGGACTGAAATTTCACCATCTTGAAGCCTGGACAAAGCCCAGGAGCTTCAGAACATAGAATGGAAGCAATTTCTGGCTTCCTAAATGGAAATACAGTATTTGGTTTTAGTGCTGATTGATCCCAAGACAGTGTATGTCAAGATCATGACATAAGTAAGGATAATATTATCGTATGGATAATAACCATAAATGCAATTCTCAAATATGTTAACTTTTTTTTTTTTTTTTTTTTTTTTTTTTTTTTTTTTACTTCCCATCATGCCTTTGTGACTGGATTCATTGACACTGGGGTGCAGTAAACAGCTGATTCTTTATTCTTCAAAAGAGTACATTTTCTTAGATATTTCTGGAATATTTCTACAAAGTATCTAGAAGAAAACAGGTCCAGTCAATACACCTGTATTAATTAAGTGTCTAAAAGTCTGTCATGTTTACCTTGAAATCTTGACCATACTACATAGGCAGCCCTGAGCCCAGCTCCCAGTGATGTTGAACCCAAAACTGACTTTCAGGCCCTTGTACCCCAGAGTCGCCATAATTTGCACCACGTTATACGTCACTTCTGAACTTAAACTTTAGAGTGTGAACACGTCTTTCTCTTTTAAAGTGTTAAATTTTACTGTTAACTTTTCCACCAGTGGATGTTATTTTCAATCAAATTTGCTCTTTTTCCACATAAAGAAACATTTATATATATATATGTTTCTTTCCAAGACTGGAAAATTTATTTTCTGCCAAGAGAAGGGACAGTGAATCATTGTCCAGAACAACACTGCTAATCCATGTAAAACCCATGCACCATCTGCACTTCTTCATATACATATTCCAGTTTCACTTGAAATAACATCATTAGTAGAGCAATCTCACAGTGCTATAAGGTGATCTTGTTTCCTTCTTGTCTGGCTTCAACTCAAACATCTTTTTGTGTTTGGCAAAAGCTGTTTCTTTCTCTGAAATATTTCATGCAGATAATGGATAATGACCACTTCTCATTCCTTTTTCTCAAAAATGTCTAACTACATTAGCTACTCAAAGACAAATCTTAACCTGGCTCTTTGTAGAAGTTCATTGCCGTAGATTCATCACAGTTTGAAAATCAACTGAAGAGATAAATTGGCAACTGAAGGGGAAAAAAATCCCTACTCAACTGCATAACTCTTATATCAAAGGCATTTTGGAATTTAACAGGACTAAAAGCAATGCAGCAGTCTGGAAATGTGATGGAATTCCATGGAAAGAACTCTCAAAACATGAAATTTCTGATACAAGAGTAAATGATATAATTTTAGAATATTTTAGACTATGTTAAAAATTTCTTCACCAAGGACATAACTTCCTGATAAGTTCTGCCATATGGAAAGAAAACACAGAGAAAGGTTACCATTCTCACTGTGGAGGGAGCAGAGAGTCTGTCTCTGAATCATGGGTGTCAGAGATGAAATGAGTCTATCATCTGGTCTAAATGTCCTGGCA